AGACGGAAGGTCTCAATATATAAGTATTCCAATTCATTCACTGTTATTGGTAGGGTCGCTTTTGATAACAAGTATAAAATTCTTACGTTAAATTGTGGATCAGTGTCTATTGTTTTTGCTAAAGCTTCTGATGTAATCATGGTGCACGGATATATATATATATATATGTATGTATGAGAAAAGGAACCGTGTTCCGACAAACTTACCCTCTTTTTAATCCTGGGCGATGAGATCTCGACGCTCCGGATCCTGGGCTTTGGGAGATTTTATAATTGGTTTATATACATATATACGTGCAAGACTTGAAGGCGGTTTACAAAAACAAAACACAAAAATTATGTTACACAAAAAAATAACACTATCGCTGTATAGATATGTATGTATGTATGCATCGTATGCGAGTTCCACTGAGGCACACGTCAGTTCCAATGCTCGGGCTGGGCTGGTCGGTGCAGCTCCAATTTCTTGTTCAGCGTATGTAATTGGGGGTTCTGTTTACACTTGCATTCAGAAATGCATGTACTCGCAAATTGTTTTTGATTGTTTTGGCGATTCACTTTTTTGTTTATAATATTGGAGTGCAATTTATTTATTATTATTTGTATTGTTTCTATTGTCTTTTTGCTGCTTTTATTGTCTTTTTGGTGGTTTCACTTCACTGTATCGGCTCGGCTTATGCTCCAATGTGGGTCACCACTTTCTCCAGGGTGTGATGTTGGTCGCGGCGTCTCTGAACAGAGCGCTTGTACATCTTGACCACTTTAAGGATCACTATAACCAGTAGTAGTCCAGCTATGAGCTTCAGGGTCCTGTTGACATCTTGAATATCGTCCCTGTGGTCAACGATCTCTACGTGATTAATCACATTGGCGGTGCTGTCGGCCACTTTGGAAGTTTCGCCGCCCATCTTGGGGTCTTTAGGCCATTCACTTGGTTCACTAGTTATTTTCGTCCTTCGGGATTTTGCTGGTTGACTTCCTCCAGATTGTGGTCGATCGCAGGACCGGTTATCGGGACTTTCTCCTGGGTGAAGTTGCTCCTAGGGAAACGTCAAGACATCCTTCTGGACACCAGCCTTCTTCCAGTCGTGGTCTGTGTTGATGGGAGTTGCACTTCTAGACCACCGTCATGGAGAGATCAGAACAATTTCTGTCTTTCTCCATTTGGCTGGGGTCTTTTATACCGGACTAGAGCTTTCGCTAGCCCCCATATTGGATGAATTAACTAGGTGTTCCCACCTAGGGGTACTGTTTCTCCATTTCCCCTATTTTAGGAGTCAATGGCCGGCTGGTGCACTTTGCCACCTTACTGGATTACGGTTACGAGCAGGTCGATCGTGGTCGTTGTTCTGGCCACGCGACACCCATGAGTTGCTTTTATCAATCGCAGTGTGGTTAGTCATTACGGCCCCTACCCTCAACTAATGGCAGTTGTTTTGCCGGGGTTAATCTTGGTATGGGGAAGGGCGTACGTAACACTTTATTACATTAACTTAAAGAAACGATTAAAAAAACGATTTTTTTTTATCAATTGATAGGTTTCGACGAGACCAATACATTTCAGTTAAGATTTTGTACATATCTAGCATGAAAATTGTCGGCGCAACAGGCTTGGGCGGTTTGTGGGCGTTAGATGGGGCGCGCCATATTTGCGTAAAAAACTTGCGCTACGTACAGGGCTACGGAATCTAAATCTGAGATCCCATTTCTCTATCTTTGATAGTTTTCGAGATATCCGCGTTCATATTTACAATTTTCTGAAGTTTGTGGGCTGTTTGTGGGCGTTAAAGTGGACGTGGCAAACTTTTTTTTTCGGTCAATCGATAGGTATTGATGAGACCAATACATTTCAGTTAAAATTTTTATTCTACCATAAAAACTGTAGGAGACACATTTTTGGGCGGTTTGTGGGCGTTAGAGTGGACGTGGCACGATGCTGAAACAAACTTGCGCTGCGTAAGAAGCTCAGGAATCTGCACGCCAAATCGCAATAGCCTAGCTCTTATAGTTTCCGAGATCTCAGCGTTCATCCGGTCTGAACTTTTTTTTGGGTCAATCGATAGGTATTGATAAGACCAATACATTTCAGTTAAAATTTTCTATCTAGCATTAAAACTGTAGGAGCCACAGTTTTGGGCGGTTTGTGGGCGTTAGAGTGGACGTGGCACGCTGCTAAAACAAACTTGCGCTGCGTAAGAAGCTCAGAAATCTGCACGCCAAATCGCAATAGCCTAGCTCTTATAGTTTCTGAGATCTAAGCGTTCATCCGGACAATCGGACATGGCATCCAGAATATATATACTTTATGGGGTCGGAAACGCTTCCTTCTGCCTGTTACATACTTTCCGACGAATCTAGTATACCCTTTTACTCTACGAGTAACGGATATGAATACAAAACGAATTTTTAAAAAATGTTAATATTAAAATGATTTAAAGATTTAATAGAAATGTATAAGTAAACATAACATTATAAGTAAATTCAATTTACTTAATTTTTCTATAATCAAATAATTTACTTCTATAAAAGAATCTTAGTGTTTTTCGATATACAATAATGCTCCTAAAATATTTGGGCATTTACATGTGAAAATTTTTCAGCCGAAATGTTAGTCGCTAGCCGAACATAACAGAGAGACGCAAAAGAAATAACGGATCGGCCGAAATTTGTCTCTGAGAGCGCCGAGTGCAGGCAGATTATAAGACCACAGGTTTGGTCGGTTGGTGGGCGTTAAAGTGGGCGTGGCAAACTTTTTGGATCAATCGATAGGTATTGACGAGATCAATACATTTCAGTTAAAATTCGGTGGGCGCCACAGGCTTGGGCGGATTGTGGGCGTGCCATATTTGCGTAACGAACTTGCGCTGCGTACAGGGCTACGGATTTTAAATCTGATATCTATCTTTGATAGTTTCTGAGATATCCGCGTTCATACTTACGATTTTTTGAAGTTTGTGGGCGTTAAAGTGGGCGTGGCAAACATATAAAATATAAAATATATAATATATTTCAAAAACAAGAGTTTGGGGGACTTTCAATATGTTTGTCCCTGTGTTTGTAAGTTTGTACGAATACCTTTTTTGTCTTAGCGTCCTGGAACATTCTGTGGAAATTTAGAAGTTTGAGATATATAACTTTTGAAAAAAACCGCTAGTTCAGCGGAAATTTCAATAAAGGTTTTCAAAGGATCTTAAAGTTTCAAATCAACTAATGCTATAGGTCGCTGAAAAGGTAGTTCAATGCTATTAACGCTGCCTTTGTTTTAATTCTTTAAATAAAAAAGATTTAAAGTTGTTTTGAGATACTTTTTAACCCGTTACTCGTAGAGTAAAAGGGTAAACTAGATTCGTCGGAAAGTATGTAACAGGCAGAAGATCGCGTTTCCGACCCCATAAAGTATATATATTCTTGATCAGGATCACATCTGTCCGGATGAACGCTGAGATCTCGGAAACTATAAGAGCTAGGCTCTTGGGATTTGGCATGCAGATTCCTGAGCTTCTTGCACAGCGCAAGTTTGTTTCAGCAGCGTGCCACGCTTACTCTAACGCCCACAAACCGCCCAAAACTGTGGCTCCTATAGTTTTGATGCTAGAATAAAAATTTTAACTGAAATGTATTGTTTTCAGCAATACCTATCGATTTAATTGCCACGCCCACTTTAACGCCCACAAACCGCCCACAAACTTCAAAAAATCGTAAGTATGAACGCGTATATTTCGGAAACTATCACAGAGAGAGAATTGAAATTTCAGATTTAGATTCCGTAGCCTTGAACGCAGCGCAAGTTTGTTACGCAAATATGACACGCCCAGAAACCGCCCAAACCAGTAGGCCCCACAATTTGTATGCTAGAAAACAAATTTTAACTGAAATGTATTAGTCTCGTCAATACCTATCGATTGATCCAAAAAAGTTTGCACGCCCTCTCTAACGCCCACAAACTGCCTAAGCCGCAAGAACCCATCTAGTGCCTACATTTTTTAAACTTTGTAAGAATTTAAATGAGATATTGTTCTTATTATCATTACCCATATACATGCCAAAAAATTTTTAAGTCTGACCATTCAGTAAAAAGTTATAGCCAAAATATAATATATAATATTTTGCAGTTCAATCGAGATTGACCACCACATGCGGCCCCTGCTATTTTCACTAACACGCCACCTAGCCGCTAGGGGCGCTATAGGCTCTTTGGCGCTTTAGGCTGTGTGGCGATATAGAAGAACAAGATGGGTGGCACTATAGGCTAGGTGTGTTAGTGAAATGAGCAGAGTTCCTTTAAACATACCTCCAGTGTGGTAGTCGACGGTCTCGACAATCAGATGCTGCAAGCAGCAAAGCGATTGCTCACAACCTTGACAGCTATATGATATACTTCTCCGAGATTTTCATATCAGTTACTCGTAAAGTAAAAGGCGAAAGGCGAAAAAAGACGAATCTGGTATACGATTCGTCGGAAAGTATGTACCAGGTAGAAGGAAGAGTTTTCGAACTTATAAAATATATATAATATATAATCTTGATCGGGATCACTAGCTGAGTCGATCTAGTCCGTCTGTCTGTCTGTCCGTCCGTATGAACGCCGAGACCTCGGAAACTATAAAAGCTAGAAATTTGGGATTTGGCATGCAGATTCTTCAGCTTCCGGGACATCGGTATAGATCAAGAATATATATACTTCATAGGATGGTAAACGACGAATCTAGTATAAGAAACAAGAAAATCACCCCTATGATTATTCAATCGGGAAATTATCCCCAATATTATGGAAAGTTTTTATTTATATTGCAATTCTTGGAAAACAGCCGTCTTCAACTTTTTATCTTCAAAATGGTACTTAAAGAAACTAACTTTGCATAAATTTAAGTAGAAGTTAATTCTTAATATTCGTTTTCAATAAGAATTTAAAAAAAATTTGTAATCCATTTTAGAACATTTTCCATTTTTTGTTCTGTTTTTCATATATTTAAATATGTATACACATTTGTATGAATGTTGAATGTATGTATACGTATATATATTGCAAGAAATTCTATTATATTTTAAAAACAAATATATTAAAAATTATATTAAAAATCGATCGATTAACAGATAAACATTTTAGTTAAGACACTAAAATTTTCACTTTCGCATACCAACCAAACCCCCAAACTTAAAACAACCCCCCCTCTCTCGTTCTTCTTACCACCCTTCCTCCCAGGCCAGGATCCACAGTCCTTTATTCGCCTTATATAAGTGCTTATCAAGAGAAACTCCCTGTCTGCAGCTTACACTCTCCTCTCTTCAGAGTAAGTGTGTTCCGTTACCGGTGTTCCATCTTATACGCCGCTACAAAGAGAAGGAAAGTGTCGAGAAAAAAAACGATTCCTCTCTTAAAACTCAATCCACCCCAACCGTATCAGTTTTAGTGAATATAAAGTGACGTTGGGTTGGTTTTGTTTGTGTGGGCGGGTTGGGTGGTGAAAGGTGAGGTTTACAAATGTAATCAATAATGTTACTTATTTAATAAAACTATTAAAGAGGCGTTTAAGGGCAAGTGAGCAATAGGTTATATCGTGTAAATACTCGATACAAAGACTCTTTTGCTTTATTGAAAATTAAATTATAGGTGGAAAATAAGGACTCTAAGACGTATTTACAAGCTAGAATTAAGGACTCACCTGTCACAGCAACCACTCGAACTCTTTCTACTCCTCCGCAGCCGAACACGATCCACATGCCACACACAGCGCTCTTTGGCTCTCACTGAAGAGCGTCATCTGATTGTTTCGTTGAGTTGCGCTAACGTCACCCAAGGATATCTCAACTGGCTCTCGACCGGGGTGTGCGTGCAAATGACTTTGTGGTGCTCGAAGGGGCAGTTCCATTTGTCAGCCCAATAGTCGTTGCGAAACTTTTGTTGGAGAAGTTAGTTGCAGACCTGGCGGTGTTGCGCCAATCGGTTATCGACTATCGTCATCGTCATCGCAAGTCGCGTGCATTTGCGGCGATGGGTGGAAGTGACGGGGCACTGACTAGTGCTTACAGTATTAAATCATTTGCAGGATTCTCTGGTCGTTCGAAAGTCTAGGTGGGCCCAGACCCATACACTTTCGTCACAAAGATATGGCCTTGCTTGCTCTTAAACGCAGATAACTAAATTTAAGCAATGTCAATTTAATTATTGGAAAATCAAGATTTGTTTCTGTTATTTGGCTTTTTAAATATCTTAATGTATTAAAGGGTATTCACCGCAGTTGGGATCGATTAAATACAAAACTTAAGAACTAATTTCTATAAATTTGCAGTATTATACCCAAAAAATTAATCAATTTCATTCGAAATTCTGAATTATTAAAAGCATGATATTCCCAAGAGTAGAAATTAATATATCAAAAAAAATTAAGTAAATTTGTAATCTTGTGTGTTTTTTTTCTATAAGAGCTATAGGATATAGTTACCCGATCCGGAAATCTGGGTCGGAAACGTCACCTTCTCTGCGTTGCAAACTTCTGACTGAAAGCATTATAACCTCTGCAAAGGTATACAAATGGGACAAGTCGCAGGGCTATTCCTATAGCTCCCATGGGAACAATTGATACAAAATTTAATCAATATCATCGATTAAGATTTTATTATTTTATTTATTTGATTGTTTTTATCCCAGCGCTTCAAGCATGTAGCATACTTATAAGTTAAGGCGCTAGTCACAAGTAATAAGTTATGAAAAATGTAAAAATGGATCTTAAATAAGTGATGATCTTCGCGTTTGTAATTTTCCAAAAAGTTAAAATTGTTTAGCAGATGTTCTCCATTATATTTAACAGTTCGCTCATCTTTGCTTTATTAATTATACCCGTTACTCGTAGAGTAAAAGGGTATACTAGATTCGTCGGAAAGTATGTAACAGGCAGAAGGAAGCGTTTCCGACCCCATATATATATTCTTGATCAGGATCACTAGCCGAGTCGATCTAGCCATGTCCGTCTGTCCGTCTGTCTGTCCGGATGAACGCTGAGATCTCGGAAACTAGGAGAGCTAGGCTATTGAAATTTGGCGTACAGATTCCTGAGCTTCTTACGCAGCGCAAGTTTGTTTCAGTAGACTGCCACGCCCACTCTAACGCCCACAAACCGCCCAAAACTGTAACTCCTACAGTTTTGATGCTAGATAGAAAATTTTAACTGAAATGTATTGTTCTCATCAATACCTATCGATTGACCTAAAAAAAAAGTTGCCACGCCCACTTAAACGCCCACAAACCGCGAAAACCTGTGACGCCCGCAATTTGCATGCTAGATAAAAAATTTTAACTGAAATGTATTGGTGTCGTCAACACCTATCGATTGATCCAAAAATAATTTGCCACGCCCACTCTAACGCCCATAACGCTTAAATCTGTCTACCGCCGGTAGGTGGCGCATTTTAATCTCGCTTTGCTGCTTGCATATCTCCATTTCCCTTTGAGTAACAGGTATCTGATAGTCGAGGTACTCGACTATAGCGTTCTTCCTTGTTTTTTCTAATAAGCACACATCTACAAATTTTTGCGGCTTATTTTAAAACATTTAACACCTTAAAAGTAAGACACACACAATGACATACAAACCAATTTCTGGATTTTCTTGGAGCACAACTTAACTTGAACCTAACATAAGATAGACTTTCACAAAATACACAAGAATGGTTTATTCGATCAAATTTGTTTAACGAAAAATTGTTGACAGGAAAGTTAATTATTAATATCTCAATTTAAAGTATGTTAAATACCTTCAATTTCAAAATTCATTTCAAATAATTCAATTCGGAGCCCTCTAGCTAACACTTGATCTTTTTAAAGGGCGTTTCGAACAAGAGAAAAAACTTTCTGTGCACAGCTGCGTTGCGAAAATGAACACGTGTTCATGCTTGCAATGCTTTTTTTTAGAAAGTACCGTAAGATTCCCTGGTAAATACGATATACCATTGAGAGGCTTAGACTTTTGGATACACTTTGTTTACTTTTCGTTTAAATTCTTCGACGGATACACTGTGCAGTGTTCGGAAAGAATTTAACACTATTATATATCCAAAAATTTTAAAAAGTCAAAATGTTCCAAAAAACAATTTTCTTGAAATTGAATGATGATTTTCTAAAACTTAATGTAAATTGCATTAATTGCATCTTTGAGCGTATCAATAATTTTTCAAAGGACTTTACATTTTTGTTATTTTGAGTCGCAATTAGCTGCATCATATCAGAGTAATGGTTACACAGAGAAAATAAGAGTTTTTAAAACGCCGATTAAAAAAGTCATTCTAAAATAAAAACTTAAAAAAAATTTTAGTCATTCAAATTATAACACTTCAAACTTTAAGACAATTTGTTAGTACAAATGTTTCGAAAAGTCATAAAAAAATTTTACAGTGACTCAGTAAGACACATACTAAAGTTTTCAAATTTGGTAGCAAAATAAACATTTTAAATAACAAGAAAGGAAGTTAACTTCGGCAGGCTGAAGCTTATGTACCCTTGCAGTTATAATTATTAAATTTAATTCGAAATTCTTAAAAGTACAAACAAAATATTTGCAATAATATAAGATAATATGTCAAAAAACACCGAAGCTATAATTTGTTTCATATTATTCAAATTCAACACTAATTACAAAATGTTATTTCCAAGCTTAGGAGGTTATACGTAAAAAAACATCAAAGATATAACATTAAAAAAAAATTTTTTCCGATTTTTCCTATGGGAGCTATAAGATATAGTTGTCCGATAGAGTTGTCCGGCTGGTTCCGACTGGTTCAGCCCGATAGCTTAAAACTGAGAGACTAGTTCGCGTACAAACGGACGGATAGACGGACATGGCTAGATCGACTCGTCTAGTCATGCTGATCAAGAATATATAAACTTTATGGGGTCGGAAACGTCTCCTTCACTGCGTTGCCAACTTCTGACTGAAATGAATATACCCTCTGCAAGGGTATACAAATGTTCTCCTATATTTTGTAAAAATATCCGTTTTGAACTTTAAAGATAAAATTGGAAAATTTTAAACACAAAAATGTATTTTTAGTAATTGTTTTCTGGAACTTAAGATACAAACGAATTTCGTGAGCATTGACGACAATGCTAATGGCCGAAAAGGAAGTAGTCTATAATGAAAATGATTTTAGCCGTCACACCTACTAGAGGGTCCGTCAAATAAATGCGTACATACATATGTATGCATGCATATGGGCAAATCCGAAAAATGGTCAACCAGGACCAAAACCAAAAAATCTTCAAAGTCATCGAATTTTTTGCGTATTTTTTTTTTCATAATTCTGTGGAACCAAAGCATATTTCATTTGAGTTGTTGAAGAAATTTCCCTGAAAACTGAAAAAATTAACTTTTTGTCATTTTTAGCTACTTTTAAAGGCATTTTTATGATTAATTCTTTCGCAAGGAAAACATATGATTTGTTTGAACTTTTTCTAGCAAATCTTTTTATTGTAATCTAATAAGAAGATAAAAATCCAAACAGGGCAAAAAAACTTTCAATTAACTGTTAAAAAAACAGCATGGAAAAATCGTACGTTCGCGACCGGTACTTAATTCAATAAAAAAAAACAAATGAAGATATTTCCTTGGGAACAGACTCGAATGAAAGCTACATGAATCCATTTTAAAAGTAAATTTATTGCTTTAGAATATTCCGTCCTAATTCGCAGATATTTGCATTTTACTAAAGTAAGCCAAAGTCGACTTCCATTTTGTGTACGTTCGCGACCGCATGTTTTTTGCCAATATAATGAAAACGATGTCTCAATAAATCCCATCATTTACACTAAGCAAAGAACTAACAAAATGCTATCGAATAGAAAAAAAAGAAATTCAGAAAAGATTTTTTTTCATTTTTTTATTTGCACTAAGTCCGTACGAACGTACGTTCGCGACCCCTGGAAATGCCCATATATTCATACACAATTTAATAACACAAAAAAAAAAACAAGGAAGAACGCTATAGTCGAGTACCTCGACTATCAGATACCCGTTACTCAGCTAAATGGAGATATGCAAGCAGCAAAGCGAGATTAAAATGCGCCACCTACCGGCGGTAGACAGATTTAAGGGTTATGGGCGTTAGAGTGGGCGTGGCAAATTTATTTTTGGATAAATCGATAGGTATTGACGACACCAATACATTTCAGTTAAAATTTTTTATGTAGCATGCAAATTGTGGGCGTCACAGGTTTTCGCGGTTTGTGGGCGTTTAAGTGGGCGTGGCAAACTTTTTTTTAGGTCAATCGATAGGTATTGATGAGAACAATACATTTCAGCTAAAATTTTTTATCTAGCATCAAAACTGTTGGAGTTACAGTTTTGGGCGGTTTGTGGGCGTTAGAGTAGGCGTGGCGGTCTACTGAAACAAACTTGCGCTGCGTAAGAAGCTCAGGAATCTGTACGCCAAATCTTAATAGCCTAGCTCTCATAGTTTCCGAGATCTCAGCGTTCATCCGGACAGACAGACGGACAGACGGACAGACGGACATGGCTAGATCGACTCGGCTAGTGATCCTGATCAAGAATATATATACTTTATGGGGTCGGAAACGCTTTCTTCTGCCTGTTACATACTTTCCGACGAATCTAGTATACCCTTTTACTCTACGAGTAACGGGTATAATAAGGAAGAACGCTATAGTCAAGTACCTCGACTATCAGATACCCGTTACTCAGCTAAAGGGACAAAAGGGATATGGACATATGTCAGCAGCAAAGCGAGATTGAAATGCGCCACCTACCCGCGATCTCAATATATGGTTATGTGGGCGGTAGACAGATTTAGGCGTTATCGGCATTAGAGTGGGCGTGGCCAACTTTTTTGTGGTCAACCGGTAGGTATTGACGAGTCTAATACATTTCAGCTAACACTTTTTTCTAGCATGAAAATTGTGGGCGCCACAGGCCTAGGCGGTTTGTGGGCGTTAGAGTGGGCTTGGCATCTTCTCTCTTCTCACTAACTTGCACTGCGTACAAGGCTACGGAATCTAAATCTGAAATCCCAATTTTCTATCTTCTATAGTTTCTGAGATATCCGCGTTCATATTTAGGATTTTTTGAAGTTTGTGTACGGTTTGTGGGCGTTAAAGTGGGCGTGGCTAACTTTTGGGTTAATCGATAGGTATTGATGAGGACAATACATTTCAGTTTAAATTTTTATTCTAGCATCAAAACTGTAGGATCCACAGTTTTGGGCGGCTTTTGGGCGTTAGAGTGAGCGTGGCACATTGCTAAAACAAACTTGCACTGCGTAAGAAGCTCAGGAATCTTCATGCCAAATCTCAATAGCCTAGTTCTTATAGTTTTCGAGCTCTCAGCGTTTATCCGGACGGACGGACAGACTAGGCTAGTGAAACGCTTCCTTCTGCCTGTTACATATTTTCCGACGAATTTAGTATACCCTTTTATTCTAAGTGTAACGGGTATAATTATTCCAGCCGCCAGCGCAGGTCAATTATGATCGAGCGGAAGCACACGTATATATATGTATTTAATTTAGAATAAAAATCATTTTAGCCACCAGCACTGGTGAATTATGATAGAACAATAAGCTCAATTATATAATTCTAAAATGGAACACAGTTCAATAAGTGTTAACGAAATGCATCACTTCTTTTCCCTCTAGTTCTTCTGTTTTCCGTTTACCTTCGCGAAGCTTTGGTAGCGTCATGCAATAGTATAGGTGTTAGCATGCGACTTGAAGGTATAGATTAGGCTTCAAAAATATGAAATGCACTCGCCTAACTTCAAAAACAGTATCGTTATTACCAACGTTTCAATTGGTAACATTTAATTTAAAAATCGCGCACCTGTGCGCACACAATGCACATTTGCGCGTTTGCACAGTTATCCAAAAAGAGTTTCATAGAGTCTGTGAATAGCGTCTGAGCGTCATGCAAGAAAGAAAAGAGCGAGCAAAATGGAACAACTTTTGCTTAGTTTTGGCATGAGCCATTTGGATAAATAATTAAAAGATGAATGAGTGACTATGTGTTAATAAAAAGTTGAGCTATTTATCCGTAATCCCTTAATTGATGGGTATGTGTTTTTAGACGTTGGAATACAGTACCACCACTTGAATCACATCGATGATCGAGACATTGCTAACGCTATATCCCATATAGGTGATCGCGTCGATTTCAGACTAAAATTGTTCGAATGGAAAGAATGTAAAATAGGATTGCAATTTTAAAAAAATTGCCATTCATGAGTATGTATGTAAACTACGTGTTGTTAACAGAGTGCAACTAGCCTGAGGAATCCACAAAAAGTTATTTTTGGAGGAGTGGTAAGTACATGATTCTGCAATTAGTTATAACTATGGTTAATATTTTATAATTTAGACTCTCTCTGAATTGCTACACAAAGCGCATATGGAACTGCAATTCTGAGTTTCTGTAAAGATCACGATATTCTTACTGACTCTAAGCGAGAAAAGCTAATTCAAATCGTGTTGGTAAACATATTTCTTAACAGTAAGAGCCTCGGTCCAAGTGATTTTAGTGTTATTTTTCGTGAAATTCTAAACGTGTTTCTAAACGAATAAGACCTTTCTGTAAGTTATATAATCCTTTTTTGTATTTTTATAAATATATTCGTTATACCAACAGGACTATTAATACCACGCCGTGGAAAACTGTATACGAAATAAACAAACACCAAGCATAAGAAGAAAAAATTCGACGAAAGCCAATTACCCCAAAACGTTAATAACGTCGAAATTACAGAGGTTCTAGATGTTTCGGAAAACTTGCTAGGTCTAAAAGAGGAACTTTGACTTTCACGTCATTTAAATGATTGGGATATCGTTTGCGATAGATGGTCTCGTTTATAGAAACTTAGACAATCGCATCTAAAAACTATGAGCAATTTCGATTTCCTTGTTGAATGGCCACTTTTAAAGGATGCACGTATGCCAGAATTATTAAATATTGCTTGAATAAATATATTTGATTTGTTATACCCTTGCAGAGGGTATAATGATTTCAGTCAAAAGTTTGCAACGCAGTGAAGGAGGCGTTTCCGACCCCATAAAGTATATATACGCAAACTAGTCTCTTAGTTTTAAAGCTATCGGGCTGAAACTTTCCCAAAAGTTTTATTTCTTTTGCAGGTAGTATATAAGTCGGAACCAGCCGGATCGGACCACTATATCTTATAGCTTCCATCGGAATAATCGGAATAAAAATTAAAACAAGAAGGGAAATTAACTTCGGCAGGCCGAAGTTTGTATACCCTTGCAGGTATAATTAATAAATTTAATTAGAAATTCTTAAAAATACAAAAAAAATATTTCCAATAGTATAAGATATTATGTCAAAAAACACCGAAGCTATAATTTGTTTCATATTATTTTCCCAACAATTTTGCGATCGCTCCTATGGCAGCTATATGATATAGTCGTCTGATTTTGATAAAATTAAATTCGGAATTCAGAACTAATTAAAAAATGTTATTTCCAAGCGAATTTTCGGAGTGGTTTTCTTATTTTTGATTGGATTTTCCCTGCTTTTGCCGGCTAGAATTGTAATCAATCTTCCTACCTTAACATATACTACTGCCGCATATGCCATTTCAGACGCGTCTGCAAACCCGTCAAGTTTAACAATCGAATTTAATTTACTTTGGATCCATCTAGGTATTATGATTTTCTCTAATAACAAAATTTGTTCTTTATAGCTGATCCGTTCTTGGGCATTATCTTTTTATAACTCTTGATCCCAGCTATTTTCAGAAAACCAAAGTTTCTTCACAAACAGCTTTCATGTAATTGTTACTGGCGCTAACCATCCTAAGGGTTCATACAGTTTTGGATAAAGTGGAAAGTACTGTTCGTTTATTTTCTTCTTTAGCATTCCCTAAATTAACGTTAAATTTAAATTTATCCTTTTGGGGTTCCCATTGAAACCCCAATGTTTTCACGAACTCATTTTCTTTGATATTTATTATCTTATTGTCGCCAGTATCTTATACTACTTTTGTTATTTCATTCTTATTCAAAATCCATTTCCTTAAATTCAGATTTACTTTCATAACTTCGCTACAAATCTGCTCTATAATGTTTATGGTACTTTCTACTGAATTGGCTCCTATCATAAGATCGTCCATGTAGAAGTCATTTTTGGCGTGGCATATTCGTGTAACAAACTTGCGCTGCGTACAAGGCTACGGAATCTAAATCTGAAATCATAATTCTCTCTCTTTGTTAGTTTCCGAGATATCCGCGTTCATACTTACGATTTTTTGAAGTTTGTGGGCGGCTTGTGGGCGTTAAAAAAGGCGTGGCAAACTTTTTTTAGGGTCAATCAATAGGTGTACAATGTACACCTATGTCAGAAAACACCAAAGCTATAATTTGTTTCATATTATTTCCCCTCCACATGATAACGTCGTCAGATTTTCATAAAATTAAATTCGAAATTCAGAACTAATTAAAAAATGTTATTGCCAAGCGTAGGAGGTTACATGTTAAAAAACACCGAAGCTATAATTTGTTTCGTATTATTTTCCCACCAATTTTCCGATCGTTCCTATGGCAGCTATATGATATGGTCGTCCGATTTTGATAAAAATAAATTCGAAGTCCAGAACTAATTAAAAAATGTTATTTCCAAGCGTAGGAGGTTATATGTTAAAAAACACCGAAGCTATAATTTGTTTCATATTATTTTCCCACCAATTTTCTGATCGTTCCTATGGCAGCTATATGATATAGTCATCCGATTTTAATAAAATTTAATTCGAAATTCAAAACTAATTAAAAAATGATTTTTCCAAGCTTAGAAGGTTATATGTTAAAAAAACCCCAAATACTACTTGCAAAAAAAATAAGACCTTTGGGGAAAGTTTCAGCCCGATAGCTTTAAAACCGAGAGACTAGTTTGCGTAGAAAAGGACGAACAGACGGACAGACGGACATGGCTAGATCGACTCGTCTAGTCATGCTGATCAAGAATATATATACTTTATGAGGTCGGAAACGTCTATTTCACTGCGTGGCAAACTTCTGACTGAAATCATAATACCCTCTTCAAGGGTAAAAATATAATGTCTTCTTCAAAATTATGTGACACTGTCATACCTTACAATATTTATTTTGACGATTTTCAAATTAACAACCAGCTTGGGTCGCATTCTTATTATATATGTGCTTGCTTTTATAGTTTTCCTACCATTCCTCAACATTTACAGACAAAGCTAGATTTTGTTTTTCTAGCTCCATTAATTTCATCAAAATATTTAAAATTTATGGCTACGAAATTTGCCTTAAAGAGTTGATTGAACAATTCAAAGTTTTAGAATCTGTTATTGTTATTAAAATAATATTGCGGTTATTATCCATCTCTGCAAACGCAGATTTCCGCATGTCTTCCATAAAAAGATGTAAAATAAATCTGACATGTTAATGTTTCTTAGATGTCAAAACTGACTTACTAGGATTATAGCTTGCCTTGATTAGTCTGATCCTTACACATGAACTAATATGACTGAGGCCGTTGATATATTTTCTCATCCATCCTACCTATTATCCTTCGATCACAAACAAATCTCCGTAGTTTAACAAAGAGTTGAGACGACAACAAAATTAAAAGTCTATACTCTTCAAAAAGTTTAGAGCTTCCGAATCACATTCCACCCTTTCGAAATACTTAAGCAGCATTAAACAACAATTAAGCTCGTTGCGCGATCCAGATTACAAACCGGATCCAAAACCGTTTTATAATTTTGTCAACACAAAACGTAAATCTGTCAGATACCCATCATCGCTCAAATTTGAAAACTTGGCCGCAAATACAGATCGGGCAATTGCCTGTCTTAAGAAATCTGCAATTTTGCACATATATAGAAGGAGTCGTATGTTATCCCACTTCATAATAATGGGAACAAATTAAACGCATGTAACTTCCGAGGTATCTCATAGATCTCAGCAATTTCGAAGCTGTTTGAAAGCATTATTACACCCCCTTTGCAGCATTGTTGTAGGTCTCTTATATTCTGATCCCAACACGGATTTGTAAAACATAAGTCAACGACATCAAACCATTTGGAGGCTACTTCATTTGTTAAAAATGAATTCGAGAAAATTTTTCAGACTGACGTGGCTTTCACTGATTTCAGTAAAGCATTTGACTAGGTAAATAAGGCGCTTCTAGTTCAGAAAGGAAAGCGATTAGGGTTCCCGTGTTATCTCCTTAAGTTAATCTCCAGTTATTTGAATGACAGGACACAAAGATTCATTTTTAAAAACTCTTTTTCATCCCTAGTCTACCACAAGGAAGTCACCTTGATCCGCTCCTTTTTACATTATTCATTAATGATCTTCCTCTAGTTCTAACAAAGTCACGTGCACTTAGGTACGCGAATGAAGTTAGGTTGTGCACCCAATATAATGAGCCCACGCAGAGCCTCACTTTACAATCGAATCTTGACTCATTTCAAACTTGGTACAATGATAATAAATTGAACTATAATAGCTCTAAGTGCGAAGTAATAACCTTTTTCGTGCAAGCCCCTACTACACCAATTATACTCTAAGTGGTTATCCCAAACTTAAATTTGTGGCTTTCATAAAGCCAGAGGTGTGCTTCTATTTATAAAGCAGTGATCCAAGGAACTTAATTGCCCTTACGTCACAAAACCTTGTTCATTTTTGTAGCAGGATTGCTACCTAGTAGAACGTATGTATGTATGTGTTATTGTATTCCTTCTAGATCATTCTTGTACGTTCTAAGAATAAGTTGTTGTTGTTGTACGAAGGCGCTCACTGTTCTCTATCTCTCTCATCGCTCTCACACTCTTCCAATGATTCGGGGGTTGATGCGGACAGTGTTATTTTAAATGTCATTTCGCTTATTTCCGTTCAAAAAAATAAAAGCAAAACAAGTTTTGTTTTATGATTGTATTGTCAGTTTTTTTAATTTTATCGATTAATCGTACAAAAGTCATATTTGTTGCTCGTATTTGGGTAGTTTTTCGGTTATAAGTTTTGGTCACACTGAAATTTTGCACAAATTAGAAGCAAAATTTGCGCGATTTGTGGTTAAATTTTGATAAATTTAAGGCGTGGCTACTTAAAGTGCCAACTGACTCCACAGATATGGACTACGCCTTCATGGCAAATGTTGCCATGATTATAAACTTCCAAACAAATACCTTGCTTTAGTTAAATCATCCGCCAAATACACGGAATCCAATGACGAAGTTGATGAAATAATTTCTTTACTATAATATATAAACACAAATAAAATTCTGCTTATTTTTAAGCTTTTTTATTTTTATTTTTAGCTTATTCTAGTTCCTTTTTCTTTCAATCTAGCTTATGGTGTCTCCCAAAATCTGGCAACACTGGATGCGGATCGTGAGCTGAGAGCGAGAGCAGTTGAACGCCGACCGTGATCCTGAACAGACGAAGTTGTAAAATAAAAGTGAAGACTGGAAGTACGTATATATATTTGTGTTGGTGTTTAACTTTGGGGGAATACGTTATGCCCCTACAAAATCAGAATTGGGCCGATCACGAGCCAATTAATTAAAACAATAGTATAAAAAAGAAAATCAAAATGGATTTAAACAACGCGTCGATTGAACAATTAAAAAGGTGGTTGAGTGTATTGAAGTTATCAACAACCGGAACAAAGAGACAATTGATCTTGCGATTAAATAATATACCGAAGGAAATTCGTGGAAAGTTTGAAGAAATGGCGAGACAAAAAGGAGAAAAAGACGGCGACAAAAGTAAAGGCGAAGACAGCGGCGACGAGAATTTTGAAGATGGCGGCGGAACTATCCAGAAAGAAGGCGGCGAAAAGTAACAGCAAAGATTTCGACAAAAGTAACGGCAAAGACGGCGGCATCCAGAGTTACGACGAAGAAGACGGCGACAAAAGTAACGGCAAAGACGGCGGCATCCAGAGTTACGACAAAGAAGACGGCGAAACTAACGGCGAAGGGAATGACGAAGTTGTTGGCAGCATTCTCAGAATTAGAGGCAAATGGAACGAAAACTATACAGAAGACGACATGCACAACCAGGATGGAGAGAATTCTAGGAACGCAAAAAGCAGCGAACGTAAAGAGAAAAACGGCAACGTTGCGGTGGTGGAAAATTGTAATGAGAGCATCGACGTCTCGTTGAGTATGGCAACACAGGTGTTGAGCGAGTTTGCTGGCGAGTCGTGTGATTTATGGAATAGGTGGAAAATTTGAGAAAATGCTAATGGTGAGCAAAATTAAAGGGAAAGCTTATGAGTGGCTGTACGCAAATTCAGACCGCGTGTTGCTACCGTTGGATGGCTTGACTGCAGAGCTGATTTCAACGTTTGGCGGAAAATCATCGAAGTTGGAGATAAGACGCAAATTCGAAGGTCGCAAATGGAAACAAAGCGAACATTTCGGGAGTTAAGTCGACGACAAGATAATGCTTGCTTAGGGCATTAATATTGATGCAGATGAAATGTTGAGCTGCATCAAGGGCTACGTAATCAGGCGCATATTCAATGCTTTGGGGATATTGGGCACATTAAAAGAGCGTTTGCGGATGTAAGCTTGCCAAAGTCATATGGAGTTGGCCGGCCGACGACATCAACGGATCCCAGGAACAGCAAGAAGACTCGCTGTTTCAATTGCAATGCAAAAGGGAATTGGGCGTACGAGTGCAGGAAGTTGAAGCGGGAGAAAGGATCGTGCTATGCGTGTGGTGGGATGGGACATTTTGTTACGAAATGCTTGAAGAATAAAAACAAGAAAGAGAACGAAAACAATGATGTAAGATATATTGAATTTAATTTTATAAACGATTCTAATACCAGGTTAATTGCGGAATGCCTCATAGATACAGGAAGTCTGATTTCATTTATCAAAATATCTAAAGTACCAGAAAACATTTTAAAATTACCAGTTTTAAGTATATATTAGGGCTTAAACAAAAGTTACATAAAAACGTATGGAAAAGTAGTATGTTATGGTATGAAAAATTTAAATAAAATACATTTTAATTTAGTTATTGTGGCAAACGAATCTATGAGTCATGATGTAATCCTGGGACGAGATTTTATGGATGCTTGTTATCTAAATTTAAACCTTGACACTTTGAAAATGGTTACGGTTGATAATATTAAAAATCTTTTTAAAGTTTGTGATGAATAGCAGATAGTTAGCGATGATGTTAGTGATGAAAAGCAGATAATTAGCGATGATGTTAGTAATGTTAGTGATGAAAAGCAAATAGTTAGCGATGTGTTAGTAATGTTAGGGATAAAAATACAATTTTTAGCGATGTTAATTAGTGACAGCAGGGAAACTATTAAAGAAATGTTTAGTAAAATCACAGATGATGAAAAAGTTACGGATAAAAATTATATTGAGCCGGAAATAAATCTAGTGGAAAAAGAATTATTTAATATAAATTTAACGGATGAAAATGTAGAATATAAAGTTGGTGATCATGTGAATTAAAATGTTAGGTGTCAATTTCTTAAGATGGTGGAAAGATGTTATGTAAATAAAGAATGGCCAAAGGAGCCAGAGGTTAGATGCGAAATGAATTTAAGATTAGAGGATTCGAAACCATTCAGTTGTTCGCCCAGACGTTTAGCTTACACAGAGAAAGAAAAGTTACAGGTGATATTAGATGAATACTTAAGTGAAGGAATTATAAGGCCAAGTGAATCCGAGTATGCATCCCCAATAGTGTTAGTTAAAAAGAAAGCAGGCGACTTACGACTATGTGTAGATTACCGAAAGCGTAGCAAGACAATGGTTAAAGATAATTATCAGTTACCTTTGATTGACGATTTATTAGATACGTTGGTAAATAAAACAATATTTTCGAAATTAGATTTAAAGCATGGTTCCTTTCATGTGTTTGTGGACAGTGAATCGATAAAATATACCTTGTTTCTGACGCCATTAGGACAATTTGAGTTTATGCGGATGCCAATGGGGCTTAAGAATTCACCAGCGGTGTTTCAACGCTTTATCAATAAGATTTTTGCAGACATGATAAAGGATGGTAAGGTAGTTATATACATGGACGATATCATGATTGCGAGTAAAGAAATGCAAGAACATTTAGATGTTCTTAAGGAAGTTTTTGATCGATTAGCAAGGAACAAACTAGAGTTAAGACTGGACAAGTGTGAGTTCCTACAAGCAAGTGTACAATACTAAGGATTTTTGGTAACTAGCAAAGGAATACAGGCTAACGACAAAGGAATAGAAGCGGTTCGAGATTTTCCCGTTCCAGATAAAGTACACGGTGTTAGAAGCTTTCTGGGTTTGTGTTCTTATTTTAGAAGGTTCATTAAAGAATTTTCGATGATCGCTAAAACTCTATATGAATTGTTAAAAAAGGAAAAAGAATTTGTATTTGAAGAAAAGGAATTGCAATGTTTTGAAATACTTAAGAAAAAGTTGGTGGAAGCTCCAGTGTTGGGATTATATTATTACAAGGACGAGGTAGAATTGCATACAGATGCCAACGCACAAGGCTTTGGGGCAGTATTGTTGCAAAGAAAAGAGGATAAAAAGCTACATCCTTTATTTTATTTTTCGAAAGCAACAACAAAAGACGAAGCAAAGTATCATAGCTTTGAATTAGAAACTTTAGCAATAATTAACGCTCTTAGAAGATTTAGAATTTATGTGCAGGGTAGACGATTTAGAATAGTCACAGATTGTAACTCACTGACGTTGACGTTAAACAGAATTGAGTTAAGCCCCCGTATTGCACGGTGGGCATTAGAATTGCTAGAGTATGACTTTAAATTAGTCCATAAATCGGGGAAACTTATGCAATATGTTGACGCTTTATGTAGAAATACAAACATAATGGTAGTAGAAACGAATAGCTTTGAAGATAATTTAATTATTTGTCAAGCAAAAGATGAAAAATTAAAAGATGTTAGAAAAAAGTTAGAAAATGAGGAAGATAAAATGTTTGAGATGAGGAATGGAGTTTGTTCGTACCCAAAGATGCTCAACATGACCACACCCAACAAATCAAGCAGTAGCCAAGTTGGGAACAGTACCAGGCGCTCAGTAGCACCCACTGCATATAAGAACTGCTGATCAGCATGTTATATGTCTCACTAACTCACCGTCTCACCGACTCAACGGCACACTGACCCGCCAATGCAGTCAGCACATTTTGCAGTGTCAGCCAACTACGCAAACTGCTACCATAATCATAATTCCCTGACCTACTTTAGAATATAGCTTACTTCACTAATCATTACACTAAGCTTCCGTGTTCCAAGTAGTATATAAACATGTTCCAAATGAAGAATAAAGCCCTTATCAACGCATCTCATAACTCCGCGGTTCTACTTCCTACCTCTGGGAATAGGGCTCGTAATACACTATCTCCACTAGCAGCTAACCTACGTTAGCTCAACCTCAGCGCAGTTCCGCATCGTGTGTTGTTCGGCATCGCAGTAACCATCGTTACCATTGCCGCGACGCGATCGTCCTGCCAGCAAAGCGTCCCCGTGCCAGCGACAAGTGCTCATTACCCCCTTGTCAGGGGGTGTGACCCGTAAGTGTCTACTTCGGTTAGGCACAAACAGAGTTATATATAGAAAGTCGAATAATGGAAAGCTGTTATTTTGTGTTCCAGAAGAAATGGAGGAAAAGATATTATATAAATATCACAATGAATTAGGTCATTTAGGAAGAGATAAAGTTATGGATGCTATTGTTAGGACGTATTGGTTTTCAAATATGAAAGAGAAAGTTGTTACGTACGCCCTCCATATAGAAAGATTCACATAGAGAAACAACGACGAATCTTTAGCCAGGGGGAGGGGTGCATGTGACTAACCAGACTCGTACTGGTAAAGGCAGAAGAAAATGCAATTCGGCAATTCTCGGGTGTCGCGTGGTCAGAACAACGGCCACTATCAACCTATTGGTAACCATACTCCGGTAGCTGGCAAAGGGCAACAGCCGGCCGTTGAAGAAACAGTAATTCTAGGTGGGAACACCAAGTTTGTCCGATCCATACCCGCAGCCAAGTAAAAGCTCTAGTCTGGTATAAAAGACCTTAGACAAATAGAGAAAGGGAGAGAATCCATTTGGGTGTCTTGCTGACGGAAGCCGGCAGCTCCGAGGGAAGGCGACTTTCCCTGGGGCAGTGTGTTAATCGAGCCAACCAAAGCTAAAGTGAACACATGCATAACCAAGGACCAATATCCTCAAATAATACAATTGGATAACAAGTGAAAATCAAGCACTCAACCATGCACTGAAATAAATTTATACCAACCGAATCAATAGACAAAGTGCGAATCATGATAAACAATTAGAGAGGACGAATCTCTCCACCAGCCGTTGAAGAAGTCGCATGCCTGTGGCATAATATATATATATTTTGTGTTTAAGTGAATTGGTATACTTATGAACAGCCGTATTTTGGTGCACGTATATTTATATATATATATATATTCCCAAAGCCCAGGATCCGGAGCGTCGAGATCTCATCGCCCAGGATTAAAAAGAGGGTAAGTTTGTCGGGACACGGTTCCATTCTTATAAACATACATATATAAATATTCGTGCAGTATCCTACAGTTTTATAGACTACTATAAACTTTTTCAGCGGCGAGTATCAGGCTTGTAGTTATATGATAATTGCAAGGGCCCTCTGAGCGACGTTTGTAGTCGTGAATAGTCAGTATTTTGCTGATGTGTGCACCTTCATAGGTGATAAATTCGATACTCTCCGCTAACAGAATAATTGTCAATTAAATTAGATTAATCAACAGACGCAGATATATATTACCTAATAAATGTATAATGTGAAATAGAATTGGAAACCATGGTGTGCTAGAACTCTAACAAAGGGGGTGTGCTGACGCGAGGAGTGAAGTAGGTCAAGAACAATGACATAACTTTCGACGGACAACCTTGACAATAGGGGATCGTATTGCGCGGCCCGCGACGATCCATTGGCACACGAATGTGTGAAGGGGAGGGAATAAGGCCAAAACACAGCCCGATCGTATTGCGAACAAGCGACAGCTAAGCTTGTTGGGCAGTGTGTACTGATGACTGACGAACTTGTTGACTAATATTGTTTTCCAGGCACTTTTAATATTTATTCTCGTTATGTTGGAGAGGAGAGAGGCTTACCAAGATCCCACGACCCGAATACGACGTAGCTTATGCCGGCAAATGGTGTCTGAACATCGGACGCCTCTCCCTCGGCCCAAGTCCTTGTCAGGACTCGGGCACTAATATGCCCACGTAACAGAATTGGCGCCCAACGAATAGGACATTTCATATTCCTTAAGGAATTTTACCAGGGTCCACAATCTCGATGCCTGCGGTATCGAAGTGGATGTACCTAGGGATGGCAAAGCTCTCATCTTTGTTTGCCACGAGTAACTTGACTGTTTTATAGAGCAGGGAACTTAAATAATTTTAAATATGCACCTACTTATTTGTTTTTGTCTTTAAATTAATAACCGTAAAGTCCCCAACTTCTGTGACTGTCAGTGCTGAGGGGCCACTCAATCAGAACTTTGTCGCAGAATAGAGGCCTGACTTTGAAATGATTTGTAACCTTAGAAATTCCCTGTTTTGTTCATGGACAAATTTACCAGAATTTCCTTAAAACAAGAACTATGAGTTATCCTTTTTATAATACTATACCTACAGCTAAGAGCCGACCGACTATTTGTTGAAAGTAACCTAAATACAATTTATAGGTGCTTTCTAGCCGACGCCCCACGACGTACTAGGCATTTGTCAGGTCGTTTGATAGGTTCGAGTCCAGAAAGAGCAGGAGCGCAATCATTGCGGTAACGCATTTAGAAATTGAGGTGCGGATCTACAGTTCGTTTGTCGATCCAGGACAGAAAGGGGTGAAGGAACTGACAGGAAACGCAAAGCCGACGCCCCACAGCGTACTAGGCA